AAAATTATAAGGTAAGTGCTTGTATTTATCTGTTTAAAGTGGAATTAATTGTATGTAGTTGTTATTTGAACCTCCAAAATTTTAAAAGAATATTATGTAAGTTCTCTACAATTTTCTTACATAACTTGCAATTAGTAACAAATATGTTGACTCTGTCATTTAACTGAAATCACGAATTTTGAAATTATTATGATTTTTTAAAAGGCAAGCGAAGCTTAAGTGTTTCTTCACTGGTTGGTTTACCCTATTCACACCCATTCTTTTAAACAATTGTTATTTTTTCAATTTTGCATAATTTTTTACTGTCTGGCACTTAAAAATGTATTTGCAACTGAAATACAAAACAGTGGAACTATTAAATTGATTCTAATGAGCGTGAAAACATGTGTTGGCAATAAACAAACACATAAAATTGAATACATAAATTTAAAAAAAATCTGTAAGAGTGGAAAAAGTAAATAAAAAATGTAACTACATGCACTGTTAGAAATTTCAGTCTGTCTCAACATCAAAAATATTATACTTCTAATTTTTTTTAAACATTGTATGTTTTTAAGTGTGCTATAAGGTTAATTATGTTTTAATTTTGAAATCTTTGTATAAACTGTAAAGTGATTTTAAAATATATATTTTTATTCGCTCTTGTTCTGTTGATATTCTTGCTGTGCTGCGAGGTTTGTTGTCTATCTTTTCTTATTTTAATTATGAATTTTGGAGCTACTGAATGAAAAATAAATTTGGCGACTACTTTACCCCAAATTGTGTAAGAGATCATTCTTGGCGTAAAGTAATATTTAGTAGATGGGTGTTAAGTAGATAGTTGTCACCATTTTTGGAATTAAGATACACAAAAAAATTTTACAGTGTACCAGATTCTTATATTTTTCAGAAAAAGGGCTGTACTGTATTATCTAAAACCAACTGTTTCATAGAAGTTAAGTGTTTAGTTCAACGCAACAGACAAATAAACCAAAAATAAGAAGTCCACTGTGTTACTACTTATCTAGTGATGGCCAGGCTGTCGTCGAACAGATGGCTTAAGACAATAATCAATTGTTTGCGTTTTCAATTACCACGGTGAATTTTGCCATCTTGTTGCTATGGGCAATCAGTTCATTAACTGATGCAAAAGTAAAAATAAAGTTCCGTTATGTGACGCCAACATTAAACATAGTCTATAAGTAAACTCTTTGGAATAGGTTAAATATAGCTGCTTATTTTTGCTCCCTTTGACAAAAGTTATATTTCTGTTAATCACTGGGTTGCTCATTGTATATTATACTGGTGTATATTTTTTTGTAAAAAATAGTTCTTTCGCTTAATTTTGCATCATATTTATTCGTGTCTTGCACTTTAACAGAGGAAAAATTCCAAATATTGCTTCAAAATCACACAAATAAACATCGATAATTACTCAATCAGTTCTATGTTTGATTCTTTTACATTCATTATTCTTCTTCATTCTACATTATACTTTTACATTCTTTTTTATGATTCATAATGACTGATCCGGTCAGATATAAATATGAATACGAAGGAAAAGAATTTTGTGAAAGAAACGTGTCGTGGCTGATATCGAAAACCAATCCAGCCCAATGGATAAAAAGAGAACATTTGATGAATAGGTAATGATCACAATTCTCTTATATATATATATATATACAAGTATATATATATATATATATATATATATCAGATAAACCTATAAAACTCTTGTCATCTCAAAATTCATTTACAATGATATTGAACCATTTAATTTTCAGGGTCTCAAAGCCAGGTCAAGACATTTCTCTTTAGAACAAGAGAGTAGGAGGGAGGGACAGAAAGCTCCCCATTCAATTAATTTCATGATTTAATTTATTGAGTGTTTTCTTATTAAGGATGAAATGCATTTGAGTGTGTGTATTATTATTTAGGGACAAAAGTATAATTAGTAAATACATCTTTTTTTCTCAATGGAATAAAATATAATAGGGTAGTCAAAATCAGGAATATGTAATACCCTTAGTTTCTTTAACAGAACACTCAAAAATCTGAACTCCTCCTCCTCCATAAAATGTTATTGCTTGAGAATTCCGTAAAACCTCTGGAACTATTTAAAAAAAATTCTTATATATA